TCTGTATGAAGGTCAGAGCTGGCTCCCAGTTTCAGCCGCTGTTGAAACTGATCAGTTTCAGCAGCGGCTAAATCTGGACGCCAGCTCCGACTTACATACAGATTCAACTTAAGAACAAACTTACAGTCCCTATCTTGTACGTAACCCAGGGACTGCCTGTATACCAAAGTATACGTTGACTGATTCCTACTTGAGAATACATATTAACTATTATGTAACTTAACATTCCCGCGCCACGTTTTTCTCCAAAATCAGTTTCAGCAGCGGCTAAATCTGGACGCCAGCTCCGACTTACATACAGATTCAACTTAAGAACAAACTTACAGTCCCTATCTTGTACGTAACCCAGGGACTGCCTGTATACCAAAGTATACGTTGACTGATTCCTACTTGAGAATACATATTAACTATTATGTAACTTAACATTCCCGCGCCACGTTTTTCTCCAAATAGTAAGTAATAGAAGGCCATGACAGAAGAATTCTAACCAAAAAGCAGTAGGAAATACTTCATAGTAGTCCTTATTAAAAACTATAAACCTGAAATTTTACACATTATCTATTTTGTAGTAATTAATAATGATGCTTTTCATAATGTGAATAAGGAATCCTATTTCAATTTAACTTTAATTTATATTGTATTCTAGAATATTATGATCTACATAAAACATACATGTATCCTTCCTCTTATCAGTAAAATAAATCCTGGTCACTATACCATTGCCGCCTTCATCAGTATAGCACACTTGCTTTGTATCAGAAGTGCTAATGTGGAACAGGGATGTTAAATTTATTTTAATCAACTAATTTAAAAGGCTTGTGCCCCCTGCAGAGATGGTGCTGGGGAGAACTGGCTTTTAAGCCAGCTACCCATAGCACCAGTTCCTGCTCTCCCCCTTGCTGCCTCTCTTAGAGGCAGCAAGGTGGGGGGAGGAGGAGAAACTACAAGTCAAGGGACAATCTCTTAAGCTTATGCTTATCAAATAATCAACTAGTCGACTAGTTGCTTACACCCCTTTTCTGGAAGCAACTGTCAAAATTACATTCTGAATTCCATTTTTAAAATCTCTGATTAAATCTGGTCTTTTTGAGTAGAAAAAAATCTTGTTTAATTGCCAGCCCATCAGACTTAACTGGGGAATCTGACAATCAAGCTGGATTCCTGCTTGTTGAAATAATAAAGATGCTGTAGCTGGAACTTATTTTACAATTATGATAATATACGAGCCAAAAAATAACCTAGTTCTCTCCAAGTTCTTTAGCGCTATTGCTTATCAGAAGGGTTAGAGCCCTGCGCAGATACAAAAAATTATATCTACGTTCCATCAGCGTTATGCAAAAATGATCTGCGGATATTCATGGATGCAGATGTAAAGTGTTTAGCCACAAATCTGCAGGGTTCTACACACAAAATTTGTATCCACATCTGATCTGCAAAAATGATCCACAAACATGAATACCCACAGATTTGCGGGCTCCAGGAATAGATTTGTGTTTTCATGAGTGATTACTGTACCTGTCACAGAAGTAGGAAGAGTATTGGACTTTTTGAGCTGTTCTCTGCGTTCTAGCCTTGACACAGCCATGTCAATTTTCTTCTCATCTTCCTGAGGTATAGGTTTCTGCAGTACACTTGTTTTGCTGATATTGCTGCCTTTATCTGACTGATGGCTTACAGCAGCCTATGATGGAGAAGGAAAAGTGTTGGCTCAGAAATGGTCCATTATGGATTGTCTATTATATGCAAATAAGAGATCTCTTACTTGAGTTTATCCCAAATGCTATGCCTCATCCTAACATAGCTAGCTTGAAGAACCTAGCTGTTGGCACTCCTCTTTCTGGTGCACAACTTAGACAGGTTTTAGAACTAAACTGTATCCTCAGAATCCGACGGAGGGCTCTTATTGGCTTTCCTGGGGAATGGTCATAGCAATTCTCAACTAGGAGTCGGAGGCCCACTGGGAGAATGTAAGCAAGTTTCATGGGGTCCACCAAGCAGGGCCAACATTTGCCTCACTGAGGCTCAGGACAGAAAGTTGAAGGAAGCCCTGCTACCTAGGCTGAAACCAAAGCCTGAGCAACTTAGCTTCACAGGCCTCCCTGTAGAATGGGGCCCTGGCCAACTGCCCTGCTTGCTACCCCCTAATATCAGCCTTGGCTTTTATATATAGAACAACAGTTGAGGCATAGGTGGACTGCGGAGTTTTTATAGTATGTTGGAGAGGGCCCTCCAATAAGAAAAATCATGAGAAATTCCAATACAGGCAGTCCCCGGGTTACGTACAAGATAGGGACTGTAGGTTTGTTCTTAAGTTGAATTTGTATGTAAGTCAGAACTGGTACATATTGTAGGGGAAACTCTAGCCAAACATTTCTCCAGAGCTCAGTTTTATTCTCCCACACCTCACTTCCCTCAATCCTTTATTCTCAAGCTAAGGTGTCTGCTGAGAAAAGCCGCTCTGTGTCTCCCTGGTCTGCTGGGGGAGGAGGGGGCGCTAGCTTCGCGTCTCCCTAGTCTGCTGGGGGGAAGCAGCTAGTGTGGGGTTGCCTCACCCCGTTTGTAAGTAGGGATCCGATGTAAGTTGGATCCATGTAACCCGGGGACTGCCTGTATAGGTAAAGGCCTGTAGTAGCAACCTCAAATTGATAATGATGCTTCTTTGTGCACATCTTTCATACATAATTGATAACATCGTGCAAAATCTCAGTGAAATTCATGAAATGACTTAAGATCAGATTGAAATTCAGTAACAGTTTACTTTTGTTCTGACAATTGGTTTGCCATGTTCTTCATTTGTGCAAAGTTAAACTCCAGACTTACCACCTGATTTTGCTGAACAACACTTTAGCTTTTTATAAAATTTCACAAACTGAATAGAAATTCAAATACAGCTAAGCCAAGATATCAGTGTTTAAAAAAAGTTTTCTGAAGCTCCTTTTTTTTTTTTTTTTTTTTTACATTTTCTTTAGCGAGCTTCTCAGCCTGTTTTGCCTCTCTGGCTTGTCTCCTCTCCTCTCTGGTAGCTTGCTGCTCACGAAATCCCTTTTGCTTTTGTAGTGCTAATGTAATCCAGAGTGGTTGTGCAGATTCAACTTTTTCCATCAGTTTGGAGCCATCTAGAGAGTGTCGGCTCTGGAGAACTGGCTTTTCTATAAGAAAAAGGAGGGGAAAAGATGATGAGTTGAGTGCAATACAAAAGGTATTCATTTTTCCTTCATTCTTACCTTAAATATAAAATACAGCAAAATATATATAGCAAGCTTTGTTTAAATACATTGAACTCAGTGTTAATCACAGCCTTTCAAGCATTAAGTATCATATTCTGGAGCAGATGTGTTACACATCAAGAAGAGACATTATAATGGTCCAAACTTATACTTAGCTAGTCAAATTCATCCTCGGTATTAATTTCTTACTCTAGGCAAGAATTCAGCCTTGTATTCTAATTTCACATATGGAACCAACCACACCCTTTGCACCTTTGGTGAAGGAACCTTAATGCTTGGATTCCCTAACCTCCCATTAAACTTCTGCCTATTTTGATTCTTTATTTCTTTACACCAGATGTGCCCAGCTTTGCCAAAGTGTGGGCTTAACTTGCCATGAATGCTATTTCTATAAAATGGAGTCCAAAGGGGTAATCCACAGAGACTGATGATCCCAGTATCTTAATCTGAATGATACAAGAATGGAGATCACATGCTGGAAACTAGTGTTTTCACATCCAACTTATGAATCAAAATGATAGCTAGTGATCTCACATAAACAGGTATCGGACCGCATTTGGTCATCTTAATATTGGCCTCCTTTTGACAATGGGACATGGTTCTACATTATCTCCTATTTCTAGAGACTGATTTAGAGCCCGTAGCAGAGCAGCAGCTTATGAAATTTCTGGGATGAGAGTTTAGAGGGGAGAGGTATTCACTTCTTCAAAATTTGTTTACAATCTTGTAGCTTAAAATGGTCTGGCCTAAAAATGTCAAAATGGGTATTATTCTGTTCACATCGTATAGAACTGCTGCCTTTGGCTACTTCTGGAAAATATACCATTTAATCAAGGAGTTATTTGATATGTTGGTTTAGAACAAGGGTGTCAAAGGGACCTCCGTAGGCCGATCTGGCCCGCCAAGCCAGTGGATCCAGCCCGCAGCTACCCTGCCGCTCCCTAGCCCCCAGGCCAATTGATACCTGGAAACGGGAGCACACGAAGTCTCCTTTTCCCCGTCAAGGGCGCACAGGCAGGGGAGCACAAGAAGTCTCCTGACCCCAGCTCTTCCACCCTTCTGAGGTGACCTGGGGCCACTTCAGAAATTTCTGAGTTTGGGAACTCTACTACTATATGCTATACACATTTGAAATTCTGGATTGGAGCTCTCCGGGCATTCAAGGTTTAGGATGACTTCAGCAAGTAGCTAGAGACTTCTCCACAGAGTCTGAAAATTGGGCCAACACTCAGGATTAAAGAAGTGTATATCTGAGAGCACCACTTCTGGTACTCCTGCAAAGGTCTTATTATTTCCCACAAAGATACTTGCAACGCTGAGTGAAACACAAAAACTCAGGAGGACTCCTGGATTTAGGTCCTTCTCTGCTCTTTATTTTAGCAGCACATCTCCTAGTTGTTTTTACACATCATCTTTACATAAAAGGCTTAGGGAAAAACAAAAATTTAAGGAAAATCCCAAAGATGGTTGTTGTGAATGAGATTGTAAAAATAGAGCTGCTGTTTCAGGAAAATAACTCATTCAACGCTTTATAAAAAACATGTACGGCTTTCAAAAAGCAAACAATTGAAAGTAGTAATTTGAAGCGAAGTTTCCAGTGACAGCCCGGATTCTGACCATCTTACCCTGTGCCTCTGATCTGTCTTTACAGTGACACAGCACCTCTGTCTACATTGCTTCTATCTATTTAACCCCACCTTCAGCTCAATATAATAATGCATATTCTAATGATGTTGAAGCTACAAATCTCCCTCCACAGTAAAGCAAGTAGGAAGCAATGGGACACAGGGAAGCTATCGCCATAACTGCTTAGCTGGCAACTGGGAAAGGATGGCTGAGGAGCCACTTTACTCTTTCTCTCTGCCACTGCAGGGTCACTTTATGATGGGATGTGTGTCTTATGCTGATCTACCAGTGGTAAGGTACAAAGCCACTGCACTACAACAGAGGCTCTAGGCTGTAGTGATTCATAGAGATATATACAAGTTATCTAAAGAGATACATGATGGTTAGCGTAACATTGCAGAGATTCCCAACTGCTTCTCTGCTGTAGAACACCAACTTTTTAATTATTTTGAGGCACACCATCACATGGTCTCCAAATAAATTTGCCCTCTTCTCTTGATTTAAGCGGTTTACCTGACCAGTCACAGCCTGCAGGAGCTATGCACAGAGAAAGGTGTTGCTCAGGGGACAGGTGGGGTCTATGACCAACGGCATGCTGCTGCTATGGAGCCCAACCATTTGATCAGTCCCTAGTTGGCACAGTGGAAGCTGTTCCACTCCTTATGGCAGTGTGCACACTGAGTTGGGCCATTTTATGCTGTCCTACTAAGTACCCATGACAACCAGAACCCAGTGGTTTGTGTACACCAAGGATTATATACTTGGGCCACTTTGCATATAGTTTTTCAAAAAATTCAGCCCAGCTGTTCGGGCCTAGCAACACATCAATTGGAAAACAGTGACTGAATCTAACCTGCACACTGAAGACCACCAAACTTTACCTAGCCATTCCTGTAATAAACCCTTGATCTCTAGCTGAGATTACAAAGTAGGGCTATGAAATTATTAAAGATTAAAAAATAGTCCCGATTAATTGCAGTTTTACTCGTACTATTAAGCTTTAATTGAATACCATTTTTTCAGTATTTTGGGATGTTTTCTGTATTTTTCAAATATATTGATTTCAATTACAATACAGAATAAAAAGTATATAGTATTGACTATTATTTTTATTGTAAATATTAGCACGGTAAAAAGAAACAAAATAAATAGTATTTTTATTCCCTACATAAAAGTATGGTAATGCAATCTCTGTCGTGGAAGTGCAACTTACAAATATACTTTTTTTACATAATTGCAATCAAATTAAACAATGTAAAATTTACCTACAAGTCCATTCAGTTCCTGTTCAGCAAATTGCTAAAACAAATTTGCTTACATTTAAAGGAGATAATTCTGCCTGCTTGTTTACAGAGTAATGTGAAAGTGAGAACAGAAATTCACATGGCACATTTATACCTGGTATTGCAAGATATTTATGTGCCAGATATGCTAGACATTTGTATGCCTTTTCAAGCTTTGACCACCATTCCAGAGGCCGTGCATCCATGCTGATGATGGATTGTGCTTGATAATGATCCAAAGCAGAGCAGACTGACAATCATTTTCATCATCCAAGTTAGAAGCCACCAACAGAAATTTGATTTTCTTTTTGTTTGGCTCAGATACTGTGGTTTCCATGTCAAATAATTGCTCTTTTGGGCCTTCAGACAGCCTGTTCCACACGCTTGTCCCTTTCAGATTTTGGAAGGCATTTGACAATCTTTAACCTTGGGTCGAGGGCTATAGCTACCTTTAGAAATCTCATATTGATACCTTCTTTGTATTTTGTCAAATCTGCAGTGAAAGTGTTCTTAAATCAAACAACATATGCTGGATCATAATCTGAGACTGCCATAACACAAAACATGGCAAAACATGGGTGAAAGCATGGAGCAGGAGACGTAGAGTTCTCCCTCCAATACATTCAGTCACAAATTTGATTAACACTTTTTTATTTAAACTAGCAACATCAGCATGAACACATCCTCTGGAATGGTGATGAAAACATTATGGTCCATAAGAATGTTTAGAGTATCTGGCAAGTAAATACCTTGCAATGCCAGCCTCAATAGCGCTATGCAAACTAGGGATCTAAGCAACTAGTCAATTATCCGATAAGCAAAAGTTTATCAGATAGTCGACTAGTCCGTCGAAAGACAGCAGGGGACCGGAGGAGGGGGGGGACTGTTAGAGGCAAATGAGGAGGAGCAAGAAAAGAGTTAAAATGGATGTTGTTCTCTTTCTCACCTGTTAATGATGTTATTTGGTTCCCTAAATTGTTAGTGTTATCTGTTAACCCCCTATCTCTTTCCTGAGTAAGTGCAGAAGAATGTCTGAGGTGGGAAAACTCTGAGGTAAACAGCAGGAGTAAACCACAGTGCAAACGGCCCCAAGAGGCCCAGAAACTCAGAATCTGCACCTGGCTGATCCTTAAAGGAGAGAGGGACGCAGGTGCAGGTTGTTGATTGACTATCAAGTGGAGCCTCCGAGAATGCCCTCTCCTCAGATTGCCTGGCCAGTGGACCAGCTCAGGAGTCAACTTGGGAAGATCAGAAAACATGAACTGCCTTCTGCTCGCCTTATCATCCTGCCTGGCACTGTAACGGTACGTCTAGACTACATGCCTCTGTGGCCAGAGACATGTAGATTAGGCTACCAGACATAGGAAAATGAAGCGGCGATTTAAATAATCGCCGCTTCATTTAAATTTACATGGCTGCCGCGCTGAGCCGACAAACAGCTGATTAGCTGTTTGTTGGCTCAGCACGATAGTCTGGACGCGCGGGTGTCGACATCAAAGGTATTTGTCGACCACCCAGGTAAACCTCATCCCAGGAGGTTTACCTGGGTGGTC